ATAATGACATACAAGATAAAATATTTTTATTTTTGTTGGAAAAGTGAAGTCAACAACGTAGAATGTTGATTTTATTTTTTCTGTTTTGTCTATATATATATATATTTCATTTCACAGAATTATGCATGCTTTACTTTTGAATAATTTACAATAATAATATATTTTCCTTCCCCAATATGAAAATAATAATTTTAAAATTATAAAAAATAATTTATAAATTTAATTTCAATACAAAATACAAAAAAATATTTATTTAAATAAATTAAATTCTGCTTTGACTAATTAATTTGCTTAAAAATATTGTCTTCTTTGGTGAGCCTACCGATTTTTTAGAGATTCACCAATGTTTTAGAATGTTAGTTGACAATCACATGAATTTTTTTTTCAAAAAGAAAAAATTATAAGAATGTTTTCCTCGACCTAATTAACACATTTTAACAATTAAGTAACAAAGAAAATTGAATTTAAAAGTTTTTAGATTTGAAAGTTCAAATTCATTTATCTCCAAAACAGTTGTATCACTTCTCTTTTTCTTGTTTTTGAAAGTTGACATCTTTTTTATTTTTATTTTAACATGTTTGAAGTTCCTTTCGGAAGATTTCTTGAATTTAATAACTTTAAAATACAAGAACACAATGCTCTAATATAACATAAGCACGGACAATAAAGTGAGACCCATTTATCTACAATGTAATAAATAAATATTAAGAAATCATATCTATTAAGCTCGTTTCAAAAATCAAAGGATTAAGCTCACATCAAAAGTAAAAAAATAAAATAAATTAAAAGTATATTTAAAGATATAATTGTAGTTGTTTTTTTAAATATTTTTTATATTAAAATACAATAAAATATTTTTTTTTAATTTATGTTTGACATCATCACATCAAAACATAAAAAAATTAATTTTTAACAAAATTTTTTTATAAAATATAGTCTACATTGTATTTTTAAATAGTGATTAAATAATCTAGTTAATCTCTCTTTTTATTATTTTGATTTTGATGCTAATAGTTTTTCACAGTCATTCAATTGTTCAATTATTTTTTTAAAATAATCTTTTTTTTAATTGTAGTTGCATACTCAGGTTTTGAATCTCTTGCCACGGTAACGTGAATAGGTTATATAATTATATTTAACCTCTTTATTTCTGGAAACAAAATTTACAAAGAAAAGAACTCCTATAAGGCTATAACGTGAATAATAATAGTGATTTTACTTTGATTAAATTATTTTTCTTCAATTTTCATTTGATGAAACTCCATATAACTAGAGCTTTAATTCACTAGCGGTACTGACCGGTTTTGTGGCTAAATGAAAAAAAATTCCATATCTATTCTCTATATCTTTTTAATGTTTTTGTTAATTTTATTAATAAATTTAAGTTTCCAATAGTGGATTTTAGCTATTGTAAAGTTGGCGGCTTAGGTGTGAAGGTGGGGGTAGAAATGAGAATTAAAAATTATTTTATATATCTTGTCTTGCTGGACCAACGAAATACTTATCTTCAAATGTAATTTTATCTTGTTATTTTTATATTATTTTATCTTTTTAAATATCAATTTGAGAAAAGAAAACAAAATTACATCATAAGCTTCAATGTGAATAGTATTTCCTAAAGCATCTTCTTCAATAGCCAAGGCAAAATAGCTACTGTGACTCCACGTTCACTTAGGTTAAATTTTTATTAATTTTTAATTATTAAAATGATATTTTAGTGATAAAAACTTGAAATTAAAAGATTTATTTTTTTTATAGTCTCATATTTGAGTCATAGAACTGTTAATATGATGAAAGTTTACATAATCATTAACTTCAGAACCAGTAAGATTTATCGAGGTATACGCAAGCTAACCCAAATACCCATGTTAAATTAAAAAAAAATATTAATTTTTATATAGAATTGCTAATATGATAGTCACAAATAACTTATATAATTATTAACTTTAAAACTCATAAAATTAATTAAAATACATCAAGTTAATTCAAACTATATATTAATAAAAAAAATAATTATCTAATAACCCCTCACCAGCCTTATAAAAGATTGAAAACATTAACTATCTAGGTGGTGGCTAAGTGATAAGGACTTGAGATCAAGAGGTTTGCTTCCTCTGTGGTCTCAGGTTCGAGTCCTTAGTTGCTCGTATGATAGCCATTGGAGGCTTACATGGTCGTTAACTTCAGGACCCGTGAGATTAGTCGTGGTGCGCGCAAGCTAACCCGGACACCCACGTTAATCTAAAAAAAAAATTAAAAACACTAATATTCAATCCCTCAATAGTAAAGAAAGAAATAACCCGTTAACTAATTTCAAAGATCAAGAAAACTCATTAATCAAACACATAAACAAAGGTAAATAAAATAAAGATTAAAAATTAAACCTATCAAGTTGTTGTTTTGGTTGTCACCGTTCATATTTTTGGTGAAAATTGTTACCATCTTGATCATCATTGCAGCGAGAGCAAAGCTCTCTCTCTCAGCAACTTCTTCTTCTCCAACGTGACCTCTCTTTCTTCTCTTTGTTTAATTTAAGAAAAGAAGAAGATGAACTGAAAGAATGATTTGAGGTTCAAGAGGGCCACAGAGAAAAGAGAGAAATGTGGTAGGGATGCAACCACGTCTCCACATAGTAATTTGGGAGTGGTGATGGAATAGGAAAGCGACTTGCATCATCTCTGCCAGCGAGAGAGAAAGCAAAAGTGGTTGCCGGCAGAAACTGCGACTATATTTATTATAAAATTTAGTTATTAAGTATTTATTTATATATTAATCACTCTTTTGTTATTATGAGTCCCATCTGAAATTGATATCGGAACTCAATTTCTTGAAAAGCATTTTGAATTCGCTTTTCGAGGGTGTGTGCTCCTCTCTCCTTCACCGACAGTGCACTAGCCGGCCATTGTCATTTTGCTTCAGTTAAAAAGAAACTTACCAGAATCGCCGCGCAGAGTAGCCTCCTCGAGCGTGTTTGTTTTTCTTCTGCTGCATGGACCAGCCCCATCTTAAATGTATTCAATCGGATTTAAACTAGTAAAATAAAAAAATATAAAAAATAAATTGATATTTTATTAAAATATAAAAAATATTTTGTTTTTATAGGACTACATAATTATATTCACATAAAAACAAAGCATTTATAGAATTTAATTATAATTATAATTTTTTTTCAGATGATATTTTACATAATATTATTACACGTTCGAGAAGCTATAAACAGAATATTATTACACGTTCGAGAAGCTATAAAAACTAAAATTCTTATCAGATAAATTTTTTACATGATGAAATTATAGATAATTTAATAAAATAATAAAAAATAATTTATATAGAGTATTGTTTATTTTATAATGTAATAATAATAATTAAATTTATAATATTTCAATTAAAAATCATCAATATTAATATACATCCTTTTTAGTTATTTTATAAACTCAATATGAAAAGTATTCTTAATTAAATATATTAAATTATTTTTTATTCAACCTTAATTTCAATTACAATTCTAATTAAATATATATTTTAATAGATCAACTCAATTAATTTTTTTTTTATAAAAACAATTTTTTTCAAATCATAATCATAAAAAAACTACTATAATACCAAACATAATAAAAAAAAATGTGATGTTGGTACAAAGAGGATAAAAAAAAAAGCAAACACTACTCTAACTTTGTGAAAAAGAATATTAGAAGAACAAAAAAAGATAAAAAAGAAAGAAAAGGTGTTTGTCATTGATTCTCTTCTCATAAGAAAAATAAAATAGAAAGATATAACTTAATTGATTAGATTTTAAATTAATTTTTTAAAGATTATAAATTTAAGTGTTATAATTTTTAAAATTACTAAAAATTTATATAATTATTAATTTTAAAATTTTAAAAAATTAATTAAGATATATAGAAACCAACTCAAAAATTTATAATTATCAATAAATATTTTAATAGACCAACTCAATTAAATTTTTTTTTTTATAAAAACATTTTTTTTAAAACCATAACCATAAAAAACTATTATAATACCAAATATAATTAAAAAAAAGTGATGTTTGTACAAAGAGGATAAAAAGAAAAGTAAACACTACTCTAACTTTGTGAAAAAGTATATTAAAAGAATAAAAGAAGAAAAAAAAAGAAAGAAAAGGTGTTTGTCATTGATTCTTTTTTCATAAGGAAAAAAAACTAGAAAGATATAACTTAATTGGTTAAATTTTAAATTTATTTTTTAAAAATTATAAATTTAAGTGCTATAATTCTTAAAATTACAAAAGATTTATATAATTATTAATTTTAAAATCTCAAAACATTAATTAAGATATATAAAAACCAACTCAAAAATTTATAATTATCAATATAAATAAATAGAAAATATGAAACAAATCCATGTCCTCTGTTCGAGTCCACAGCATTCTAAATGGTAAAACTTCAAGGGCATTCGTTGATAGTAGGGTAAAATATGATTGAAAATATATTTTGTTTCCAATACAATTTTAAAAATAAATAATTAATATTATATTTTTGCATGAATTTTGTTAAAAAAACTCTATTTTGAAATTTTAGTTATAAAAAAACTATATTTTATTATATTTTTTTAATTTATTATTTTAAACTGCAATTATAATGCTAAATACGTCCTTGCTCCGTAAATATATTTGCAATTTTCTTTATTCTCTTCCATTTTCAAACCATTATAATTTACCCTTAAAAAAAAAGATGATTAATTGAATTACAAAGGACGTGTGGTTGTTGGGCGCCAGTTTGCCTGCGGTGCGCGGCTTCCATGCACAGAGCACATCCCTTCTATTTTCTTTTGTTATAATATTATGTTTTGTAGTATAGTAGTTTATATATATATATAATATTTTTAATTTTTTATACCAAATGTACTTAAATGATAAAAAAATATTAATTTAAAATTTTAAAAATCTTAAAAATTTAGAAAATACGGTTTGGCAGAATGCCGAATTGTGTCTTAAATACCGTATAATAGTTTTTTACTTCTTCTTTTTATTACCATTTCGCCACTCCTCTGTCTCTCTTACTCTCACCCATCATCATCATCATCATCATCATCATCGACCTCCCTCGCTTTCCATGGCTTCTGTTGCTCAGTCTTCCACTCAGGTAAAGTGAAACAATTTTCCTATTTTGATTGTAAAAAGCAATCCTTTTTAATTAATTGCTTGATGGGTTTATTTGTTTTTGGGATTTTATACGTGTTGGTGTAATCTTTGAAAGCTATACAGAGTAGAGAGCTGATTTTTAACAGTTTTTTACTGATGGGTTTTTAATTGATAAGTTGTTTTATTATTATTTTAATCAGACTGTGTCAACTGGGGTTGTTAACTCTGATGCCAATGTGTTCCAGTTGATCCAAGCTCACCAGGTAGCCTCTCTGTTATACCCGCATTGTGTTTGGTTGTGGGTAGATGTGTAAATTCCTGGATGTCAATGCTAATATCAGTATTATTAGATTGATTATGTGTGAATAGATAGTTTTCAATGCTACTGATTGGTTTTGTGTTTGTGTGATTATTATAGGAAAAGGCAGCTCGGCTTCCTCCGGTTGAGGAAATTAGAACCGTGCTTGACCAGAGCAGGCACGGCATGCTTTCAACTTTTTCTCAGGTTTTTGTTCGTGTACTGGTTAACGATTTGAACTTATTAATTAAATGAGAAGCACTGAAAGTAAATTCTTCATGAATGTTGAAGTTGGCACAACTGAAGGGTGTTGTTCGTGATGTTAGGGTAGGATTGCTCGTGGTTGTTATCAGCAGAGTTATGACTTTATATTTAACACTTCTCGTGGAAGGATGGGAGGTTAGAGAGTCCATAGTGGGATCCGTTCAATTTTGTGTTTGATTTGTTTGTTACATGTATCTTACTCCTGCTTGTATTGGAATTGATGTTGATGACCCAATTTGATATTATCAATCCAACATTAGGACAGAAAAGGAAGGTTGTGGTAGGGTGGTAGTTTGTGTAAACCTTGTCACAACTTCATCATGGCACGATTCATGATGATGATGATGATGCTCTAATCCTCTGAGCTACAGGCCCCACCTTGTCTCTACTGGATCTATTCCTAGAAATACCCTAAATAAAACCTTTTCTCTCCCCAGCCATTTCATTTAAGGTTAAGAAGATGCAAAAGCGGCTCTTTCTCTATAAGAACAGTGCGTTTTCGAGGCATGAAGTGGGAGAGAGGGGATTTCATAATTGGGATTTTGAATAAGACTGCCCTTTCAATTTTTTCTCTCTCGTAAGAACAGGATTAGAAAAATTGTGAGTGCATTGGGAGGAAAGGTGGAGGTGAATACCAATAATAAGTTGAGAAAATGTGTTTAATTTAGTTTGCCCTCATACAATATAGACATGCAGATGCATCAGTTTTAAAAATAATTTGATTCAAGTAGTATGATCGAGTTAGGGGAAAAGTGGACCAAAAATAAGGTAGAATCAAGCAGTAAAAACAAACAATTTAGTATCATGATAGATCATAAAATGTTTGGCCCTAAAAAAAAAAAAAAGGACATAAAACAATGAATACAGCTACCGGCAACTATGAGACTAGATTTAGTTAAGTTGAATTCAATAAGGTAAATATGCATATTACTGAGCAAGCATCTTGAAGTGTGCGTATTGCTCATCAAACTTTTCTTGCCTTGTAGATTTAGGAGAACAACTAAATAAAATATCTGCCCTTACTCATTTGATTAGTTTCCTTAAATTTCTTATCCTAGAGAATAATCAGAAGACGTTTCAAAGACTTCTTATTTTGAACTTTAAGTAGTTGCTATTATAAAAGGATAACTAATTATATGCTGTTGCTTAAACTTGTGAATTAAAAATGAATCTTGTAATATGGCTCTTCCCTTGCACTCTGTGTTCATAAATCACTGCATAAATGTTAAGCAACTAGTAGCCAAAAATTCTCTGAATTTAGGGTTCATCATGAACTGGAGGGAAGGTTCATTAACTGTATCAAGGTCAGGTTACAGGCCTTTTCAGGTCTATAGGTCCAATATTTTGGCCCTCCTGAAATATTAGAAAAGACAGCTGCTGCTAGAAACCATATGGTGAATCTAAGATAAATTCTTATCAAATACTGAATTCATTAGGTACTGAATTTTGAAATCAGTGGCATGGAAAAGACAGCAGCTGGTTTACATTTGAGTGTTGATTCATTTCTGAGACTACTTGCTCATATATTCACTGAAACTTGCTGAAATTTCTTTTGACATGACAGAAGCATGGGGGTTATCCGTCTGGGTCAATGGTTGATTTTGCATGCGATGCTGATGGATCTCCAATAGTAGCAGTCAGCAGCTGGGCAGTACATGCTAAGGTATGTTTTGCTTACCTTCTATCTTTTTTCACATATGCTTTAATTGTGAAAACAGTTTATGTGATCATAAAATAAAAGAACAATTCCAATTATGACATTTAGAATTTAGAGATTTACCACTGTCAAAATGCAGGCTTGATTCTCTTAGATTGTGACTTATAAATTGATCATATTTTACGCTTAAAATTTGTGAAGCCTACTGGTAACTGTTTGCTCAAAAGTGAATTTCACTGAATGCTTTTGAGAAATAAAAGTCTGGTCAACAAGATTGATTGATCTCATAATGTTTGGTTCCAAATAATTGTTGTATCAGCCTTCTACATGTGCATCTATGTGCTCTATGGAGCCACTAGACTAAGCTGAATTCTCCTTGCCTAATTTTGTTCTTTAGCCTATTTGGGGTTCTTTAGGAGGTCCTGGTGTCCTTGTATGTCTGAAAAATTGCTGCTTACTGCAGGACCTAATAGCCAATCCCAAATGCTCATTGCTTGTTGCTAAAGATCCTGAAGATAGGAATGATTTAGTAATCACCCTGCATGGTGATTCCATTCCTGTAAGTGTTTTTTCCTTTTTCTTCCTTGTGATAATTTCCAAAATGTTTCTGCTTATTAATTATTTTTCTTTAGCAGATATTGTACCTTCACTGAAACATAACTGTTCTGCACCGATACGAGTTTTGAACTTTTTTCTGACCAATTGTTTAGGTTTCTGAGAAAGATGTAACTGCTGTTCGAACAGCATATCTGGCAAAGCATCCTGATGCATTCAGGGTAACTTGTTTCCTCCCATTTTCTAGCATGCTTCATGTTTTCCTTGAATGTATTTTTGTTGCTTTTTGTCAAGGTGAGGACTTAATTATCTCTTCCATTTTCAAGGTTGACTTTGGTGATTTCCAATTTATGCGCATTGAACCAAAAGCTGTGCAATATGTGTCAGGAGTTGCATCTACTTTGCTTGGATCTGGCGGTCTGTGTACCATCCGGCTGATTTTCTTTTTTCTAAAGCACATCATTGTCTATAACTTTTTTCAAGTCATTGGGAGTGGGTTTAGATAATCAAGTTGTGGTCTAGAGCTCACCAATGGTTTTGCTGCTTTCCTGATTGTATAGGCTCACCAATGGCTTCAGTGCCTCTTTACAAATTTGTTTGTGCTGTTGTTATTTTTTCCACCGTTATTCTACTTTAATTTATTTCATTTGTTACTTACAAATGTTAATAATGACAGAATTCAGCAAAGAAGAGTACCAGACTGCTAAAGTTGATCCAATTGCTCAATTTTCTAAACCTGTTGCGGTATATTGCTTAAAAATTAAATGCTCTATCCGTATGACATCTGCCCTGTTTATTATTTCAGTTTCTTTCTCTTCTAAATGAAATCAAATGGCTTTGTCAGTCTCACATGAACAGAGATCATGCTGAAGATACAAGACTCATAGTGCAACACTCAACTTCAATTCCGGTAATTTTCAATACAACAAATAGCATTTTATATGTCTGCGTCATGTAAGAAGCGGGAAACGACATTATTTATAAGCCAGACTGACAATAAATTTAGTTGGAGGTCCGCAAAACTAGTTTTATGGCTTCAAAATGAGCTGGCCACGTGGAGTAATTAAATAATATATGTGTTTGCGAGGAAGAGTGAGTTTGATAAGCTTGGTGACACTCTTTTCTTTGCCTGTATATTATTTTCTGTATATGCATGATATTTAGTTTCCCTTATTTTTCTTTTTTTGGACGAAAGCCAAAGAGGAAAAAATAAAAACTTTCCTTTCTATTGCTTCTGGGATAACCTTTTTAGGCATGTATATGGCATATAAACTCAAGGAGAAAATTATGATTATCTCTCTCTCTCTTGAGGAAAAAAAAATTATCTTATCTAGTCTTTGTTTTTGTCGCCTCTTTTGTTTCCCCTTCCCTTTAAAATTGAGCAAACGCACCAAACAGGATATCTAGGCTGATTTCATATCTTTTTATCAGGTGGACTCTGCTTATATGCTGGATGTGGACAGTCTTGGATTCAATGTTAAGGTATTGCTCGTGTGTGACCATGTACAGGCCTCTTCTCGTATTTAAAAATTGCACTTTCTTTCAGAGGTCTACTTTTATTAGAACTGTTTTGTTGCGGTGCTAGTTTATTATTTAGATTTTACGTTGAACTCAAAACTTTTCATCTGAATCTTTTTTTTTCAATCCACTCTCGAAATGTTATGATCTCTCTTGCAGGCTGTTTATCAAGGAAATACTTACAAGCTTCGAATTCCTTTCCCTAGACGTGCAGAAGAGAGAAAGTAAGAGTTCTAAACCATGTCCTTGCCTTCTTCTTTCCAAATCATACTAAGGTATGTGTGAGTGGTTCATGTTGATATTGGCCAAGCTAATTTGAGGATTTGATTGCATAACTCTTGTCATTTGTTCTTGTGCCTGATTAAAGTTTGATCCTAAACCGTGTTATTAGACCTACCCCTGGCTGCTGGAAAACTGATGTTTTGCATCATAAATTTTTTACTGGCTTTGATGCTCTATATCACCTGGGAATGCTCTATATCACCTGGGAATCTGAAGGGAACGTGTGCCATTTTCATATTGTAAATAACAGATGTATTAATAGTTCCTTTTCTTCCTATCTGACTGCATTATTTGATTTTGACTTCTGGTAAGTTTGTTTTGTTGTATACTGTAGGGATGTAAAGACTCTGGTGATAGAGATGCTTCAAGCTGCGAAGTCTTAAATTAAATGATTCCTTGCTGAACAGAGAGAGGTTTCTTTATTCAAAAATTCAGCCATGAAAGAAAATGTCACTCTTAAGCATGAAAACCTTGTCTTGTTCTCAATGTGATCAAATTACGAGTCTTGTAAACATCTTATGTGCTTGTATTGCTCATTCAAAAAACAACTACGATTTTTTGAGGGCATGAATAAGAGCTTTTGTTTTTTGGCACACGATCTTGAATTTATGAAATCTCATTTACAAAAACCTAAAGATATGATCTCATTGTTCACCACCTTACACAACACTAATGTTTTGTGATTTTATTTTGGTACTTTTAAGTTATTTTTTTATTTCAGTTATCAATTTTTTTTAATTTTATCTTTTATCTTTTTATATTATATTAATTGAGGACAGGGCCTATAATTTATTTCACATTGTTTTCTATGAAGTTATAACAGTTTAAAACAAGTCTCGATGCTAGGTTAATTCTCAATTTTGTAAAAATCATTGGTTTTATTATTTGTGAAAAATAAAAGATGAGGGGATCAGACGATTGGTGTGGCAAAATGCATCCTTTTTTTACCCTATTCATTTAGTGCTTTTTTGAAGAATTTGGCCTTCAGATTTTTTTTTTCAATTTTTTTTTATCCTCTTAAGTTTGAAAATTATAAGTTTTGATTTAATATTATAGTTTGTTCGCATTTCATTTTCTGAGTTTAAAAGAGAAGAAAGAAAAAGTGGTTGACTAGCTAAATTTTATAGAAAAATAAATAAATTTGATCTCAATGTATTCTTTTTCATGAGAGAGTGTCATTGAAGTATTTTTTTTTTTTAATCTTTGGTATTGTTTGTAAAAAATAGATTAGATTAAGAGATTTTTTTCATTTTAATTATGTGTTTTTGAATTAATTTATGGGTATTTGGAGTTGAGAAAGTAATCTATTAAAGTTTTAAACGTGTTTATTAGGTGTTTTGAGATTAAAATAAGTTAAAATTAATTTTTGGATCTAAAATACTATAATCTTATTTTATTATTTTATGATTATTTTTTTGTGGTTGAAATCTACATAATCAAATGGTTTTTTTAAAAAAAAGTGTTGTTCGCCCTTGCATCAAAAAAGAAGATGAAAGGGATGACAATGGGTACCACGCAGCTTATATTTCTTGATATTCAATAAATATCTATTATTTATTATTATTTATTAATCAATAAAAAATAAAATAGTTAATATATATATATATATATATTAAATGATAATATTAAAATATATGTATATTATATTGTATTAAAAAAATCTAAATATTCTACAAATATATTTATATTATATCAATATATATTTCAGATTAGGTTTGTACATGTTTTGAAGTCATATTTGAAAATATTCATACTCTATTTATTATTTATTATATCTAAAAAAAATAAAAATTTATTTATTTGGATAAGATTAATATTTATTGAGTTCAGATTGAATTAATATCTATATAGGAAAGCCTTGGATGAGATACCCAGCCTTCTTAGCACACGCGCCTAATCCCTTTTGATTTATTTTTTTAAAGATTTGCTTTTTTGGTTGAAATGCAATATTAAAATTGTTTGACATTGACATTTAATTATTATTAATTTTTTTTATGGTTCTTAAATAATATTATAGATTTTTATATAAATATTGACCAATTTATTTTCAATTATTGTTTACCTAATATGCAAAAAAATAATAATAATTTCTCATGAATATTTAATGAAAATAAAAATTATGTTCTATAAATTTTTTGTTAGATTTCTAACATGAATTTATCATATTTATTTTTCCCCTTAATCACATGCAAAATGTTGAGTTATATTTTAATATGTTTTTTTAACCTTTTTTTTTTTTGAAATGATGATAGGTTTAAGTTTAGAAAAACATTGCTCACAATTAAAAAAAATATATGTTAAAAAACATGAAAAGATGTATTAACAAGGAAATAAATTTGAGATTGAAAAAAATAAATTTGTCTTACATAATATTTTTAGTTGCAAATATCTTTTTATGATCGTTCAATTAAATAAAAAATAGATTTAAAAAAGAAAGGTTATTATACCTAATAAAGACCATAACCAAGATTATTGGTTGGATGAATGAATCTGATTTGATTTGAATACATCCAAGATGAAGATGATGACATACACCATTAATCTAAAATTGTTTTTATTTTTCTTCTAAGGTAAATTAAGTTTTGGATGACTCAACTAAGTTACAATTGCACTAGCTAGGTCAGTGAGGCCATACTTAGTCAACTCTCACTCTTTTAACTTTGAAATCTTGCTTGGTATAGAGGTCGGGTCGATGGATCACCATGTTAATCCAATAAGCTTGGTGGAGTTTAATAATATTGTTGATGAGTAAAGAATATTGTTTTAAAGATTTAGATACATCCAAATTGTCACCATCACAATATTTTTTAAAATTAAAATAATATCTTTAATGTTTTTTAATAAAATTTGACTGGGTCAATTAAGTAATGTTTGGATTCTTCAAATCAATTAGGTTATACCAAATTAGCTCCTATATAATTTAATTTAATTTAAAACATGGATCGTGCAAGAAGTTGGGTGGAGGGCCTCAACTCCAATTTGATCCATCAGGTTAGGTTGGGTTTGATAACATTGTCAAAAAACTCTATATAGCAAATACATCGACGATGCATTATTCTTATCTTGATAATACATTTGTGTCAAAATTATAAGAATATTATTATTTTTATTCAAAATTAGCTTTTAGGAGTATAATAAGATGTTTTGAAAATAAATATTCTAGCAAAAAGTTGTTGAAAACAAATTGAACATGTTAAATTCAATAAACATAAATGGGTTTTAATTGATTTTTTTAAAATTTTTATTAAATAAATGACCTAGAAAAAATATATTTTTTTTAGAGATAAAAAATATTAATACAAAAAGGGTGTTAAACTAGGAAATTATTTTTTTTCAAAAAAATTTAAATTATTACTAGATTCATGGACCCACTCGCAGGACAAATAAATTTTTCTTTTGCATAAAAAAATTATATTTAGGCATAGCAAGAATGTTTTTTAAAAAAAATTTATAATTCATGTTATGAATTCAATATGTTGTTTTTATTTTAATTAGATAATAAAAAAAATAGATAATGACACTAAATGCACCAAACTAAAAAAACAATTATGATAACCTAGAAAATTATGTTTTTCAAAAGAAAAAAAAATGATATAACTCAATTTTCATTCAAATAAATATGGAAAGACAAAATTGGATAAACTACAAAAATAAACAAACTAACTCAAGTTATTATAACAGATAGCCTAAGTAATAAATGAGAGATAACACAATAAAAACCAAATGAAAAAAATAATCACAAGGCCTAATTTCTAATAAAGTTGTAGAAGGATGAAATTTGAAAAAAAAGTAAAAAAGTAAATTAAAATTAGATAAGATAACCAAATCCTGTAACCCAGATTATACTAATAAAATAACTAAAAAAAATTAAGATATCAAAATGATAACAAAAAAAAAAGAGAAAGAAAAAACACTATTACAATCTAATGTGTTTTCTCTCTTATGCTATTATGCTATAGTACTTCTCCACATGAATTAGTTTTTTTTCCTTAAAATTTTTTTATGTATATATAAATAAATAAATAAAAATTTAGAGCTCCTAGCAGCACAAGATTTTATATTTTAAGTTGTATTTATCTTTAACTTTTTTACTTAATTTTTAATTAGAGTTAAAAACTCTTTTTAATATTTATTAGTGTATATAAACCTTAATTAGTTTTACTAAATTTACGTATCAAATTTTGAATTCACAATTATAAATTTTTTTATTATTAGAAAACATGGGTCAACTAGCTAGAGTTAAATAAAATTTAACTTAATTTGTGTCATGTACATTTGAAATTTCATGCTTAGATTTCAATCACTTTCTGGAGTTCCAGGTTGATAATTTTTCTTCCCTTCTAAACTATGGAGGAGGATTTGACCTTTCTTTTTTTTATGTTCATTACTACGATCATCATCATTTTTATTATGAAACTGCTTCTACACCACACCACATCACAGAGCTTATTGGTTCCAGAATCCAAGCATTCCCAGTACTGTATCATTCACTCTGGTTGTTACATTGTATCATCGTGTACATAGCATTAACTATGGGATTACAATATGCTATGAATTGCATAGTGTGGAAATCATCATTCCTGTGGGGGTAAGGTGTTCTTTTGTTGTTTGTCTCTGTAGGATTCTGCAGGACGTCAGAAATTGGAGCGTACCATGGAATGATGTGGATAGATACAATGTTTATGCAAACTAAAAACAATCAGCTGGCCTTTGGTTTGTTCCTCCTGTGTGCTATTGACTCTTACTTATTTCGAAGAGGTACCGCCACATTGCGAAGGGTTAAGAGTAAGAACCGTTTGAAGTTGAACTTCTGATGTCAAAATAATGTTTGATGAAAAGATCTTGCGAAAGTTTATAGAGTGAGAATGCAATTCATCAGTTCCTTTTTTTCTTTTTTTAATTCCTTTTGTAACACATTGTATAAAGAACTAAGTTTATACAATCTTCCATCAGCATCGTGCAGGTGCAAAAAATAAGTTCCGGAAAGGAGGTTGATTTTGTCCTATCTCCTATGCTTGGCTTCCATGTCACATAGCATCATCCTGGTTGATTCCATAATCCAAACAAAATAATGGACGCAAGACAAGATTGCTTTTCTAGAATGGATTGTCTTGGAGTCTTGGACGTTTTATCTGAATCTGGTTGCCCTTGTGAAACTTTTGGGCTATGGCCTATTTGTGTGATGAAATTCACTTCTTTAAAAAAAAAAAAAGAAATAAAATTAAAGGATTTGTTTTCGTCTTAGAACATGAGAGGCATTGTTGCAGAGGAAAGGCAAAGTTAACAAAATTGAGAAAAGAACAGAAACCCATTAGATGAAAGTAGCTGCATCTTCCTAGCCTTAGCTACCCAAAGAGCAAAGCTCTGACGCGCAGAACTAACAAGATAGTATCTAGTTTTTGTCGAATGCTCGGCATTGAAGACCATGGCAATTCACTGCGTCTCCGCTACATGGAAGAGGAGAAATATTATCATTTCGCCACTCTTAAGTCGTCATCATCGTCAACCTCCCTCTCTTCGCATGACCTTCTGTTTCCAGGTCTTCCATTTAGGTAAAATGAAACATGTTTTCGTTATTTTTAATGATAAAATCTT